GACCAGCAGTGATGGAGTTTAAAAATGGGGGATTCACCACTGTCGTTATCTTGGGGGCTATATTTTATTATAGCGATTCGCAGTATTATACTGCGAATTGTGTTGATCGCAGTATAGTACTGAGTTTTATCAAAAAAATGTGTGAGATATGGTTGTCCGTCTGCCTACAATTAACTAGGCATGTGGTTGCTTCTTCAAACCCTTCATGAATTCACTGTCAGGAAGAGAAATAGTATAGTAATACTTAATGAATTGAGTAATTGGTTCCTTTTTCCGTAGGTGTTCTATGGTGTAAAGATCTATCATCCATCATCCCCAGTGGTAGATTACTTACTTCTACTGGACAGAACTACTGAATAATATAATATACATTATATTTGTTAAATGATTTGTTTGAAATGTATTTAATTTGCTTCTATGTCTATTGCAGTATTGCTATTTTTTTTAATCTAAATAAAAAAGGGAACGTTTTTGCATGTGAACCAACGTACACACCTACACTTGGGTAACCAAGACTTTCAACTAATTCCGATTTACATTATTAGTTAAGGCATATTAAATGGGAAGCATTAATCCCTATCACATTTTTTCTATTCTCAAGACTGGAACTTAACACTTATTAAGGGCAGAGGGATGATATCTATTCCATTACACATCCTTGGTGATGTCATAATTCCATTACAAAAGCTTTATCATCACCCATCTTCACACTGTAATGACAACAGTATCTGACCTATCTGGGAGCACCTTACTCCAAGCAGTGTAATCATCCTCATCCTCAAGTCCAAGAATCATCCTGAAGTTCAAGCATTCCATAAGGCGGTATCCCCTCCAAAAGCTCCATTGAGGCAAACCCTCCCGTTGAAACGTGGGTCATCTTCACCGCTAGCCCTAATTTTTTAACAGCGGCAACAGTACTGCTTCCCACTATGATTGTTATTGCTTCTTCTACATTTGCCAACTTTTTTGCAATCCCCTCTGTTCCATGAGCAAATTCGGCTATCTCGAACCCTCCCATTGGTCCATTCCAAATGATAGTTTTTGCTTCATCTAGCACTCTGCTAAACAGACTGACAGTGTCTGGTCCAATTATAATTTTTATCGATATTATTCCCATATTTAACAATCATAGTTGTAGCACCAGGAGCAAACCATTGTGCTATCACTAAATCAGTGGGAAACACTAGACGTACACCTCTTTCATGTGTTAGGTTTGCTCGACTAAGCATGTTCTCCTCCACAAGTGAGTATCCAACAGAGTAGCCAGCGGCCGCTAAGAAAGTAAAGATGAGACCTCCAATCCCCCTTGTCAAAAAGGTTGTCTATCACGCCAATCCTAGTTGAAAGCCTTGAACCACCAACAATGGCATGAAATGGCTTGTTTACGCTCGCTAGATCTTCAAATAGATACTTAAGTTCCTTTTTCATAAGGAGTCCAGCAACTCCTGGGATGTATCGAGTAACCCCGTTGCTGGAAGCGTGTGGTTCGTTTGAAGTCCAAAAGCAATCATTGACATAATAATTTGCAAGAGACGCCAGCTGCTCGATCTGCAAACTGATCTTTCTCACACGCCATCTCTCCTCTGTTGAATCTTTACATTTTCCAGCAGCAGAACCCCTCCTGACGGCATTTTACAAATCATATCCACAACTTGTCGACCAATGCAATCATCCGCCATGCTGACCTCAACTTCTAATAGCTGTGACAGTCTTTGCACAAGAGGCTTCAAACTGTACCATTCTCCTTTGTCAATTGGATAACCACGATGGGAGAGGAGAATAACACGAGCGCCACAACTAATAATATACTTAATAGTAGGAAGAGCGTCTCGGATTCTGGTCTCATCACGAATGCTCAAGTCGTCATTCAACGCAACGTCCAGATCAACTTTCACTAATACTTTCTTACCCATCAGATCTTCTTTTTTCAGAGAAGACACACTCTTCTTCACCAGTGGCCCATAACGACCAAGTTTCTGAAATACAAGTGGATCAGACCTGTTCAACGATCATATAGAAAACAGATAGCTAAGTAAATGAATATTTAAATACTCACTTCCTCCCACATATGTCGCCTGGAGATATCCCAACGTCGACCAAATAATAAATCCATGTTAGATCAGCGAAGCAACTGAAAGGATGAAAAGGTTTTTAACGTGCAGAAGAGGATATCATATTTTGTGCTCCAAAAGAGGTGGTGGGCTTAGGGTTTCCCGACAAGACGGCGTCGTTTTGTAAACCTTTATCATAATTATTCTCTCATCTATCTATATCTATATCTATCTATACTATATTAAAAGCACGAAGATACATAGCGAAACGTCGTTCGCTTTTTTTACCTTTTCAAGATTAATTTCAGATTAGATAAAATAGTAATTTAAGTTACTTTCCTAATATTTAGGACTATGATATCAATTAAAATTGTATTCCTATTTTTTTTCCTTATTTAAATTACGTAGGAAGTTCTAATAATTAGGATTGTAATATAAATTATTTACTTATTTAGACTATTTTACACAACTATAATATCTTACATAAATTTTCCTAATATTTAACTTTCATCAACCGTTCATATTCATATTGGGACATTTCGATCTGAATGTCCATGAAGACATAATTGAGAAGTGTGAATTAGAGTTGAAGAAGGTTATCTCTCTCTTTCTTTTTTTCTTTTTTTATTTATTTATTTTTAAAGGGCACTCTATATATTCGAACTATAATACATTTTTACCTACTAAAATAACATATTTTTTTCTTCACCATTTTTTTGTAAAATGATTAAAAATTACATTCAATACTTAGAACAAATAACAAAAAAAGTATTCAACAATATTAAAGAGAAAGAGAGAAAAAAGGTGGTTGGCAAAATTAATAACACTAATAGTCCCGCAGACATAAAGATTCAAAATTGAGTTTATTCTTTGAAAATAGAATTCTTATTAAATAAAATTGTAATTGCAGTTAAACATTTATAACTCGAAATGGACAAATATATATTAAGAATTTGAATTACGAGAATGAATATTCTTTAATATTGAGAAATAAATAATTAACTAATTGACAAAAGAAATCCAATGTTTTTTTTAAAAAAAAATCATTATAAAAAGTTATTTTTATGTTAACACATCTCTCAGAATATATAAATTTATTTCTAAAAGGATAGAATTGGCGGTAGGAGTCATAAGATAGGATAAAGTCACTTATACATGATATTAAGAGCCAAAATAATTAAGATGCAAACTCCATAATAATCAATTGGATAGTCATTTAACTATTTCTTAAGTCATCTAATCTTTTGGCGGTAAAGTCATTTAATTAATTTTATTAATGTTTAGATATAGTCATTTAGTTAATTCTAATATTAAAAATTTGTTATTTGATATTTAAATTCCTAATTTATAACTCCTAAATTTAAGGCAAATTCTCAATATTCAAAATTTTATGTTACGCATAGTTGGGATTTAATATTTGATATTTAGGCAAAATTCTTTAAAATAAATCCTCGCCGTCAAACAAATGGCTTTAAATATACATAATAACAAATATTACATGAAAAGGAGTTCAATGCACTAAGGAAAGGATAAAGTATATCCAAGATGGAATAATACGGACACAAAATCTTAATTGATTTATAATTCCTAAATTTAAGACAAAATTTTTAATGTTTCATATATGTTACATAATGTTAGGTTTTGAAAGGTATTTTTAAGGAAGTCTTTATATAAGGTGAAATATTTATCGATTTTAAGGTTTTTAATACTAAGACTTCCTACATGGTTCAAAATAAGAAAATATTTAATAATTAAAATTTTAGTTGATTTCACACATGAAGTTATCATTTTATTATTTTATAATATTTAATATTTTAAAATCAACTAAAATTTATGGTTCAAAATGTAGTTACTGGATTCTTCTCTTGCAATAGTAATTTATTCCTTTTTAATTTATCGGAGCAATTTATATAGTATTTTCTATTGATTAAGGAAATAGAATAATTTATATTTTTCTCCCGAGAAAGAAAAAGATATCTTTAATTAGTTAACAGATCATGTTTGTGTTAATTAGAGAACTTGAAAATGACTGAAAAAATAGAATAATCTTCAAAATACCTCTTTTATAATTTTTTTTAAATTTTTTTTAAATCTTTAAAGGCTATATGTTCTTGCTGAAACTAAAAAGGATGCATGATAAGTCGTAAAATTTAGATGATGAAATTATAGACCTAAACCTAAATGTAATTGAATATACAGCGTAATGATTGAGGAACTATATGAGACAAAGTTTATTCCTTTATTGTGTTAGCTATAGATGATTAACAAGCATCAATTCAAGAGCATATATTTTTAGTTTGTAATCTTACATAATTGTTAATATAATATTTATGAGAAACTTCTTAAATAATCACTCACGAGATAGGTACACGCGCGATGCGCAACCTTGATATATGACTAGAAACCCAAAATTAAAAGCCAAGTCGACAAGCTGGCCCTATATCTGACCCTATTGTTGACATTATCACAACTTTGTACATACATGATGCATCATAATCAAATGGTCAACTTTTCAGTAAATGCTTTTTGAAAACTCTGTATATCACAATTCACAACTAGAAACATAGAAAAAACTGGAGTCAACTATAGAAGAGTTGATATTAAATAGGATGGCCTTAAAGTCCATGGTCGGCCCTTCCCTTTTAATGTCAGCTTGTCCACGAATTTTTGGCTTAGATGAGGTAGTTGGTTACTTGGTGATACAGTGATATGGATTGCTTTAAATATTTCGAATAAAGTTTAATTTATGTATACCGATAGTGTAAAATTATTTGTACAATATTAGATTATTTTTACATGTTATAGCATGTAATCTAGCTTGACATTATCAATCTCACTTTTTGTGTAAGGTCACATGTAGTCTGTTGTCTAGCTGCGCCATATATATCTTTTACAAATATAACGAATTCAGTATAATCCTATAAGTGGAGTTTGAGAAAGGTCGAGTATACGCAGACATTACCCCTACCTTGTGAGGATAGAGAGACTATTTGTAACGACCGGATAGGTCGTTTTGAGAATTAGCGTCCCGTTCAGCGGCTTAAGACCTCGAGCAGCTTCGTATTGAGTATTATGACTTGCGTGTATGACTGACTTCAGTTTTTAGATGATTCAAGCCAATTTGGAAGAAGAAATCCTGTTTTAGAAGCTTTAGCGGTAAGAGTTGACCGGAGTTTGATTTTTGTGTAGACGACTCCGAAATGACATTTTGATGATTCCAATAGCTTTGTATGGTGATTTCGAACTTAAGCGTGCGTCCAGATTTGGATTTGGAGGTCTGTAGGATAATTCGAAGTGTTTCAGCAAAAATAGGAAAGTTGAAGTTTTGGAAGATTGAGAGGTTTGACCGAGAGTTGACTTTGGTGATATCGGGGTCGGAATGCAATTCCGAGAGTTGGATTAGATTTGTTATGTCATTTGGGACTTGCATGCAAAATTTGACGTCATTCCGGATTGATTTGGTATGTTTCGGCATGAGTTTTGGAAGTTGGAAGATTTAAAAGTTCATAAGTTCGATTCGTGGTGCGATTCATAGTTTCGACGTTATTTGATGTATTTCAGATGTCAAGCGAGTCCATGTTAGGTTATGGAATATGTTGGTACGTTCGAACGGGGTCCCGGGGACCTAAGCGTGTTTCGGATGGGCTAAGCCTGAAGTTCTGGTATCTGATATCCTTCTATGCGATCGCGTAAGTGCAACCGCGATCATGAAGGTTGTTTGGTGGCTTGGTTCTTTCTCTCTTCGCGTTCGCATAGACCAGTCCGCGATTGCGGAAGTGTGCCTTATTCTTCTCCGTGTTCGCATCCCCCCCTCCGTCCGTGTTCACATAGTTCTTCTGGTGAGGTAGTGTACTGGCTTCTATGCGATCGCATTCCTATTCACGCTATCGCGTAGTGCATTTTTGGGGCAGTGTAATTTCTTATACGCAATCGCATTTCTTTTTCCGCGATCGCGATGTGTTATAACTGGGCAGAATATAAAAATACTCTATTTCGAGGATTAGCCATTTTTATCATTTTTGGAGTTGTAGACCTCGAATTTGAGCGACTTTTTGTGGGTTTTGTAAGCAAATCATTGGGGTAAGTATTCTTCACCCAGAATTTATTATATTCCATGATTCTTCTTTATTTTTATCTTATAATTAGTGTTTTTAGTGGAGGAAAATGGTAATTTTTGAAGAAATCTTTAAAAATAAAAAATGATGATTTGAAAGGCGAATTGATGTCAGAAATTGAGAATTTTTTGTATGGTTGGACTCGTATCGGAACGAATGTTTGGGTTTTGTGAATTTTATCGGGTTCCGAGGTGTGGGCCCGGGGTTCAACTTTTGGGTTGACTTAAATATTGAAGCTTTAGTATCCGAAATTTTTTTATATGAGTTTTATTATGGTCCGAAGTTATTTTGGCTAGATTTGAGCCGTCAGGAAGTTTTTTCACTCGAGAAGTTCATGTTAGAGTAACGGTCTAGCTTCTTTGAGGTAAGTATCTTGCCTAACTTTGTGTGGGGGAACTACCCCTTAGGATTTGAGTCTTTGGTGCTAATTGTGTCATGTGAAGCCCGTGTACGCGAGGTGACGACTACGTGCTTGGGCTTATTTGTGGAAATTTGACCGTCTAGGGCTCTTAGGTTCTTATGTTCATTAGATTATGAAGTTGCTTTTCTATGTCAAATTCCCATTTACTAAATTCACCCTTATGTGTTTTATTTGAAATTAATTGCTCCATGTTTTACCCTTATTGTCGATTAAGCTCTTATGTGCCTTAATTGAAGTTGTTGTCTTATTTATTGCTATGCTATCATTTCCGTAATTGTTTATCCTTGATTGAAGTTATTATTATCTTTTTCATAATCTGCTTATCCTTAATTGAATTTGTTGAATCTCTCCCGTAATTGCTCCACCCTAAGTGAAGATTTGTTATCCATTGCCACTGTTGACTTACTCTTAATTGGAATCATGATTCATGTTATCCCTCTTATCATTGAATTGTACTTATGTGGGATCATTGCTACACAGTATCTCTTCTTTGTTGAGCTATTTCTATGTTGTACCATTATCTCCT